GGCGGGGTCAAGGGTAGGTCATTCGTACGAATTGGCCAATTCGTAAAATATGTACGATTTAGCAAAAACATACTAATTCGTACGAGTGAGGTCGTACGAATGGTTACGAATTAGCCACCTCGTAAAATTCGTACAAATCTCGTGAGATCGAGTAGGAATTACCTATTTTAGAAAATGTTTCATATATAGGGCGCACTGGATTATAAGGCGTATAAGATACTGCAGTCACACGTTTGACTGGGTTTGCGTTATGCATTAACTAGATGTGCTAAAAGGATTGTAGCAAATCCGCGGCGCCGGAGGTGAGGCGTTTATTAGTAAGCGTGAGCACGCTGGGGCGGGCACATAACTTACATTCGCAGCCTAAATCATATGAGTATTGAATGTGCGGCGGCTCGCTGACAGCAACAGCTGGCTGTTTTGAATGAGACGACCGGGTTACTGTGAACGGCGCCGAGCAGGGCCGGGGACAGTGTGTCTGTTCATGTGTCTGTTAAGAGTGAGCACTTGTGAGTGGGCACGTGACTTACACACATAACCTGATTTATACGAGGTTGAACTGGCCGTGTGACAAAGCGGGCATAAGATGGACACGAGCGCGAGTTCACCGGCGAATTTAATAACGCAGATCGTTGTTAACAAATTGATCCATATATAAGGCGCTCCGGATTATAAGGGTCACTGTCGTTTTTTAAGAAAATTAAAGGCTTTTAAGTGAGCCTTATAGTGTGGAAAATATGGTACTTGCAAATTAATCTGCGAGTTAGACCTCATTACACAAAAATAAAAAAACAAAAATTTTAATGAATGTATTTAATGTGTTTTTAAAAAGCCTTATGTAGCTTATGGAAATAACTGATTTCTAAAGTTATAGCCTTGAGGATTATGGACGTTCAGCGCAGATTGACCTGGGATCCTTTATTTTTTAACTAGCTGCAGAGTGACAGCAGAGACAGTTGGTTGCTGTCCAGGTTAAGGCCTTTGGCTGATGGATGCAGCATAACTGAGTAGGGCAGGCAACTATGTGTCATGGAAAACAAATGCATACTCAAACACCCAGGATTACATATTCAAACATGTTGCGGCTACGGGACAAACAAGCTGTCGTGACAAGAAAATTCTTATTTGGCTGATGGCTGAGAAGGTGAAACAGTCAGTTGCTAATCATGTTTTGCCCAGTGAAAGAAGGTTTGAGCTGAATTGCAATGTGAGATCCTTGAGGTGAGCCTGTATTCAGTTCATTTTGACCAGTGACCTAAGTTATCCTTTCAGGCTCCCCTAGTCTGAAGCATAACTAAAAGTATAGGAAAATGTTTATTCTACACAGACATTAAAGTCCCTGTAAAGGCAATTCTACAAAAAAGTTTTAAACACATTATAAATGTTGCATATGTATTGCTAAAACATGTTAAAAAGACTGTGAACTGTGAAGTACTGAAATGTGGAGTTAGAACGTTAAACAGTTTTTCACCATTGCAATTTTACGGATTGTTTGGGCGGGGCTAAAACAGGGCTCGATGACGCACTGGAGCCCATGAGCTCCTGGACACGCCCCTATTTGATGACGCACAGAGTCTGATCTCTCCCCTAACACACAATAACACTCCCCGAGCACATTCGCATTCACTGCTCAATCGCGAGTGACTGTCAGTACAACTACAGCTGAGCCTAGAGTTTTCTAGCTAGCTATGCCTTTGACACAGAAATGCATAGGCTACTACCTGGATGCGATCATGTACAAAACAGATCGGTATCTTCATTTAAATTCCATAAAAACGATCACATCAAGAAGAGGTTTTTAGAAAACCAACCCTGGTGAAGAGCTGAGGATCACCACCAACATCCGCCTCTGAAGTGATCATTTTACACAGGATAGTTTTATAAACTTTCCTCAGAGACAACTGGGATTCCCTGATGATCCGCTGTTACTGGTGAACGGGGCCGAAACGACTATCTCCCGCCTCAGCCTTCATCCTCCCGTCCCGAAAGCAGTATCAGCTAATATCACCGTTGACAGCTTTCCCACTAGTGGGCGTGGTTTCAGCGCAGCCAGAGGACACGCCCCCAGCGTTTGAGAACAGAGATAACTATAATGTTTCGAAAGGATTTTTGGTTAGTCTTTGTTAGATTAAAGAAAAATCTCTAAAATGAAAGAAAATGCTAAAATCTAGGATGACTCTAAGAGCTGTTCTACTTGACATAAAGGAAATGAAAAGCATACATTTTTTTTTTACAGTCTTCTCCATCTCTGAATGAAGGAATGTATAGAACAATGGCTGAATATAGCCTGAAATCATTTCCAGTGTCCGTATACTGTACATTCTTCATATATGTTGCATAAACCAAGGGCAACAGAGCACAGTAGAGGATTGATGTTTCCCCGTGTCACTCTTCTAATGCATTTTTTTAAAAGATCTGTCAAATACGGTAAATATAAGAAAAAATAACCAAGAATATTTTATGATCACTCTCTTAAACCGCTCAGAATTAATGCAGTGACATCCAACGCTGAGTTTCTTTAACTGATCACATGTATATGTTTGCAAGCTACCTAAAGATGAATTAAATATTCTCCAGCAAACTCTGGATGCTCAGCTCCTAAATTATTTACTGTGCTGTAAAAATTTTCACGCCACACAAATGTGAGCATGGGTCGACAATGGCAGTTTTATCAAAGCATGCTGTTAGGACAGCTCCTTTGAAGTGAACTATAAATTCAAGTTTTAGAAGAAATATTTCACATAAAGTTGTTACCACAAGCTTGGACTACTTAAAAGAATAAGTCACTGCCAAATTAAAATTATTTTATTATTTACTCACTCTCATGCCATTCCAATACTTTCCTTGTAAATAGCTGCATCCGTAAGCGCATGGAAACTATGTTTGATAAAGAATTTATCATTAAAAAAGCATGTTTTATAAAGTATGCAGAATAGCGCTACAATAGTGCGCTCTCGACATTTGACAGGAAAATAACGCCATAGTTCTGCAGCATATTTAATTATGGTCTATAATTAAATATGTAAAAAAAAATTATCCCAAAATACATATTTAAGAAAAACACATAAGCAGCCAGTGTTCAAAACTATCTTCTTGCCATAACTCGATTCAAAATGGTATTGTAATAATGTTTTTAATTCCAGTGGTACTGGTGGATTTCGAGCGAGATTCGAGCATGTCTTTGCATCATTACGTCACAGCTGTACACATAAAGAAGGAGTCTCGGCTAGTAGGCTATATTGCGTGAGAGGATGTTGGAGGTGGAGATTTATAGCCTTTTCTCACAGTAAGCGAGTTTTCTCCCGCGGAAATCCACCTGTACCACTGGAATTAAAAACATTATTACAAGCTTACCGTTTTGTATCGAGCGGATTCAGAAAGATTCAAACGACAATCACCAGTTCACCAGTGACAACAGAATCACCCGCTGTAAAAAGCAAAAGACTTTGTTTGGACTTCGGAGTGACTACAGAAAAAAAAAAGACTGCAACCGGACCCATGCGAAAACAAGGATAGGCTACATATCGGAAGGACATGTGGTCACGCAATACTGACGTTGTTAACATTAACAATTTGAGAATAATTTGCACGGTTTTGCCTGATATGTAAGCGATTTTTAGATTAAATCAGCGCGATTTTCTGCAGTGTCAGAACCAGAACAAAAGTGGATGTTTGTTCAGATGACATTTTCTGGTGAAAATTCTTATGTTGGTCATACTTCCAAAAAGAATAATCTGTGATTCTGAATGCCATTATCCACACCGGCGCGGTGACTGACAGCCTCACAGTCTCCTCAAACATTGTGTTCATCTGCCTGTGCGGTGTCGAATTACAACTCACATAAGAAGTGCAATTGCAGATTTCGAACAGAGATGGCGACAAAGAGGAAAAACTCCAGACTGCAACTTTAATGTAACATGACCTGAAGCAATGAGACCTGTTTTACAGAATAACCTACAGAAGTTTTTTTTTTTTTTTTTTTGCACACAGGTTTACACTTGCCATGTTGGCATTGCCATGTGACCAGTGGTGTCAGTTGTGTCTTAGTCACTTGACAAAAAACAAATGATGACTAAAAATAATAATTTCAAGACTCTAGACATTGGCAAAATACAGTAATACATAATACAATATTTAATTCTACCCTGATGAGTCTCCCAGTCCCTACCGCTGAAAAACTCCCCCACAGAATGATGCATGATGCTGCCACCACCACCATACACAAAGCTTGGAACTGTCAGAACATCAGACCAGAGAATCTTCTCACAGTCTGAGCGAGACCTTTAGGTGTTTTTTTTTTTTTTTTTTTTTTTTTTTTTAATGAATACTGAACACTTTCGATGAACATGAATTAACATAAATACTATCGGCTCTGTATTTAAAACATTGACTACCGAATTTTTTTTTTTTAAATTAAAACTAAACAAGCTATAAACCTGGCAGAATGAGATAATGTAAAGTAAGTCATTATAAAATGCTACTATATATATATATATATATATATTAACATAAGAGCAAGTAGCACCCTGAAGTGTCAGTTGTTGGACTCTCCCATTTATTTTAGTCAATTAGTTAGTTAGTAAATTAGTTATTAGGTTTAATATAGTCTAATCATAAACACAGTTTAGCACAAACAGTTGTACTAACTTTCTCTGAATAACGTTGTTAATCTCACATATTCACAAGAAATAGCTTATGCAGTGAAAAATAAGTTGAATATTTCCCTGAATTGACTGATGGTCCCTTGTGGATGGTGGTCCCTCCATAAAAGTTGAAATCCCCTGGAATAGGCTAATCAAACACTTATTATTATTATCATTAATATTGGAGACAAACTTATTTGGACATTATGAAATATTAATTCAATTATAATATTTTCTCTTCTGTATGTGACTTTTGAAACGCCTGCTTAAAAAAATACAACTTCATTTCCCATAAAACCTCGCGGTGTGACTGTTACGTTACCCATAAGACTGTTCGCCCTCTGTCTCCAGGCACAGACAGGAAGGTCGTTTAGACAGGTCGAGCAGATCTCACACAGTTCAGCAGTAATAGTTAAACGATGCTCGGACAAACCGTGCGACGATTCGCCACCTCTGCGGTGCGCTCCAGTCATTATGCGGAGGGACCTGGAAAGGTGAGGAAATTAAACAAAATTAGTCGGTTCTTGTTTAGCTAACGATTCAACGCTTGTACGGCACAGGCCTGAGTTCATCTGAAGGCCGACGCCGTTTTAAGTGTTTAGTTAAAAGTGATCACATTGATTTGTACATAGAGGCGGTTAAGCTTATATAAATATTTGTATTAAGTGTTAAACAGTAATTGTAATGAATCGTAAGGGCGGAGTGCAGAAGTTTCCTTCGATTAGCTTAACTTAGCTTAGCATTTGATCAGGCCACCGCGCCTATGTACTTTAACCGCTTGTTTTACAATAAGGAAGAAGACCCACAATGATTTTCTGTGTGAATGCATTAATGTACTTTTATTTATGATTCAATGAGGCTGACTTCTGTTACAATAGTGTTTAATGACCTTGAATTGGCATTAGTCCGCCTGCTGCTTGATATATTGTCTTTATTCCACGGCCATGGAAAAACTGGAAATATCAGGAACGTTAACCTAGTCATGGGAATTAAAAGGCTTAAAAATCACGGTTATTTATTTTTTAATTAATAATTTATATGTAATATTGTTAATATACATATTTCTGAAGTTATGTTCAACTCTTTGTCAAATGACAATGTAATGTTAAATTCCATTGAAATTACAACATGTTTTCATGTGAGTGTGTGTGTGTGTGTGTGTGTGTATATATATATATATATAATTATTATTATTATTACCACCACCATATTCTAGTGACCAAACAACTGCAGAAGTCCTTGAAGTTTTATGAAAATGTATTGACCTAAAGATATGGGAACTCTCTTCAGCCAATCCACATAACTACAAATACAACGAAATATTAAAAGGTTCTGAAAACATGTTGTAAGTTCTATAGTGACTTCTAGTGTACTCTAAAATATTTTATTGTTTATATTTATATAGATATATATTATGTAATAATCTGTACAATTATATCCAGTATCACAAATGATTGGAAAAGTCAGGACCAATGATTGGTCAGAAGCTCAGTCAAGAATTCTGGCTAGTTCACAAAAGTGCTGGGCGGTTTGACCAAAAATGTATGTCATGTTTGTTTTTTTGTTTTTATGTTTTTAATTAAGCCGGTTTTCCGGTTTATGATGTTTTTTCCATGCATAATCTGGTGTTCAAAGCATTTTCTACTGGTTGAGAGAGGAATTACTGCAATAGATTGACTTAGGATGGTCTATTTTATTGTCATTAGTTAATATTGTAGAATACAATAGCGCCCAGTATAACCTAAAATTGTAGTTTCTTAACATTCTTATAACCAAGAAATAACGTTAATACAATGTCTAAAAAAACTGGACGTTTTGAATGTTCCTAGAACATTCAGAAATAACGTTTTTATAACTTAATAGGAATGTTATGAAAGCGTTCATAAAACCTAAAATTGTTAGCTGGGGAAGAGGAGAGATTTGCGATTGCACTCAACACGTTTTAAGTGCAGGATTCTCTGAGCGAGCCCAGAGAAAATAGACCTATTCTAACAAGAGCAGCGTGTATCTGAGAAAGTGCGCGCGCAGAGAGATTCTTGACATTTGACAGGAAAATAACACCATAGTTCTGCAGCATCCACCTTCCCTGTAACACAATCCAGAGCACTGCTGTTTGGTTTACCCTCGCCTCACCGTCACTGCTTAGAAGTGCAACATTGTAACGGGTACATCTGTAACAGTGTCGCACAGCGTAACGTTCGTTCCGAACGTTGTGTAATTAAATACATTGATATGGCGGTATATTAAATATTAATATCATAACAAATGAAGAGTTCAGATGCAAAAGCCTCTAAATGCCATTTGAAATTTTCTTCTTTAAAGATGAACTGAACTGAAATTTGAGAAAAGGTGATATAACAGATGTATTTTATTTATTCTCATTGGTACAATTTTTAAAATGGCAGAATTTGTTAAAAGGGATAAAATGGTACATTGAAAGTGTTGTTTTTGTTACACGGGCGCCGCCATGTTGGATTTCAACGTTCGACTACGTCACTGGCATGGTAAGCCACTCCGTTGCCTACCCGCACCAGCAGAACAGCCGTAGCTTGTAAACAGTCTGAGGCTCGCTGACATGGCTGAGGAAACAGATTTTTTAGCGACACACTATTTAGAGATGTGTACTTTCGTCAATGAGTACATGAAACGTCTGACAATGCACGAAATGTTTTATTTACACAAGTTACAAGTTCAATGCATCACGTTAACGTTACTCGAATCCTTGATATTCGGCTGAGGGGGGAAAGATCCCTGATGTATAGTTCACTGTAAAGGATGGGATTCTCCTTCTTAAATGCACCCTCGCCCATAGAGTGAACTGCCAGTCCGCTGTTAATCTAAACAATCTGAGAAAAGTCTAACAAGTTAGCCCAGCCGTCACCTATTCGTAAAATACCCTGCTACTTATGGGGCGGTCCAGCGTCTCAGCTCGGACATCCATTAGAGACAGCATAGCCTCCTTCAACACGTTTCTCTCACCGAACAGCATCCGAAATGAACGGTGCATGGTGATGCATTTTTCGCCGATCAATAAATGTCCATGTTGACCTCTCTGCAACAGATCGTCTCCGTTCAGTGTCTATGCTCCACAGCGCTCGCGCCCACAGTCACTTTCCCCCAAACGATCCTGTACTGCAAGTGAAGCCTGAAACTGATCGTCCTCCATGTGGTGGTAGTTAGACACTACCGGCCTGTCCCTCACGGGCTCAAATGCGTAATCCATGCCGTTAAAAGCGCTCATTTTCGTCTGTGTATACAGGACCTACAGCTGTTGTCTATGGCGTTCCGCGGGTCCTACCATGCCAGTGACGTCATCGGAACTGCCAGCGCTAACAAGCGCAATTTTGCGTTGCTTAAAAAAGCTATATTAATATATATTTTTAAAAAATGTTTAGTGTAATTTACTTTTAATTGTCATAAACAACACGTTTTCAACGTCGATATTTTTCAGTTCAGTTCATCTTTAATGATGATTTATGTCAAGCTTGTATATTTAAGTTCAGTGATTTCACTTAAATGGCAATGAAGATTACCTATTAATTGTTATTTAAGTGAAATTACTGAACTTGAATATACAAGTTTGATAAAAAATCATCATTAAAGAAGAAAATTTCAAATGGCATTTAGAGGCTTTTGCATCTGAACTCTTCAAATATAGACCGGTTTTCAGTATGAACTGGTATACCGCCCAGCACTGCTGTCAGTCCAAATCCAAATGTTGTGCATATCTGATTGGAATCAAGTCATATTTACCAAATGGGAACGACAAAGTAGGGATCGACCGATATGGATTTTTTAGTGCCGATACCGATACCGATTTTTTTCCCATCAGCCTTAGCCGATGACCGATACGGGCTGCCGATTTTCTTGAGCCGATATTTGGAGCCGATACATTTTGCTCCCTCAATTTACATCTTAAAAATAACATGATGTTAACAAATGTTACAGGTCTCAATTTAATAAAAGTAACATTTAACTAACTTCAAAAATTAATATTTAACAAATAGTAAAAACATGTGAGGTAGAACAAGAACAAGTAGATAAACAATTTAAAAAATATTAAAAACATGAAGTAGAACAAAAAAAGTTCAGTGCTGAAAATGAATATTTAAGCATAAATTAAATAATTACACTATTGCACACAGTAGCAACCAGCATAATAAAGTGCACAGTGCACACTGTACTTCATTTTAAAAGAAACGAACTATGTACTGCATGGTTTCAATTTTCCTACATAAAATAAAATGAGCATGTCTAGTCTCTAATATTACTGCGATGGCGAGGGACACACACCACACGCGTCCAAACCTCAGCCAGGAGAGCGCTGAATAAATCTCGCACAAAAAACACTGAACAACGTTGGCATTACTTAATCCTATGACCAGTGTTCGTTACAGCACCCGTATGCACACTAGGGCTGTCAAAATTGCTCAAATGGCGTTTGCATGCATATTTCCTCTAAAAAACATATTCGAACATCCCGTTGCGCGTTTTGTTGTTGACGCGCATTACATCAATAACAGGACACATTAATAAAAAGAGACATAACTACTAGTATTAGATGGTTTATTTGAGTTTAAACATATTTGACAACGTATTAAAAAGCAAGTAAATCAACTAATGGCCAAGACCGCAGAGCTCACTCTGTCTCGCCCTGGACTCGCTCAGGCACTCTCTCTCCCTCTCGCCCTCACGGTCTCTGCGCGTCGGTTAAATGAACAACAAACAAATGTTGAGTGCTAAACAAGAGTTTTGTGCAAGCAATTTAAGGTTGCGAGTCGCGACTCTTGTCCCAAATATAGCAGGCCTTAGTTCATTCAGTGACTTGAAGTTTCACAGTATACCGACAGTGAGCGCTCCGAGCGAGCTGTGCAGCTGTGGTAACGTTATTAGTCTGCAACCGCGGGCGTGTTTTTCCACATTCAAATATTAATTTTCACCTTCAAAATTAATAGATATTCGAATGTAGAATATTCATAGACAGTCCTAATGCATACTGAACGGATAACCTACACCTTAACTATTTGCAGCTTCTTAATACAATGGCAAGCAGTTAAGTTTTATAGACGAGGCATTCGCGTTTTCCATTTGGACCCACAAACTTGCTTAGTTGCAAGCACATAACAGTTATAGGGCGACGTGTTTCCATTTTCAAAGTGTTTGACAATATTTCAGGAGTCAAACATTTAAAAGATCCTTTGAAAGTTTAAGTTACCATTCTCGTGAAGAGCAGGTTGCACTCTGCTAGTGGAGGAGGGCGGGGCACGTGAACTGCAGCATCTCCAGCAGCACGGAGCTGCCCGTGGCCGCCAGTCTATAAATAACGGCGGGGGGAAAAAACTATCGGCGAACGCGCAGCGGTGTATCGGCCGATTCCGATACACGTAAAAACCTCAAATATCGGCCCGATATATCGGCCGGCCGATATATCGGTCGATCACTACGACAAAGTAAATAATTTAGATCAGATACACAAATCGGATTTGGTTCGACATTGTGAATATGGTCAAAGACTGTACTGTTTAATTCATTTTAAGGAAGCATGTCTTCAATTACAAAATCAGTGAAGTCATGAACCATAAGGACATGTTTATGGTGCTCTACATTAATTTTCCTTAATGTGGTTCCAATAATTTTCAAAATAAATATATTATTTTTGCAGAACCTGCCGTTCTCAGTAGAAAACAAGTGGAGGCTCCTTGGCATGATGGTGATGTTCTTTGGCAGTGGATTTGCCTTTCCCTTCATCGTTGTCAGGCATCAGATCCTGAAGAAATGAAGCTCCTATCAGTCACACATTGTAAGTAACTTTGCATCAGACCCGTTTTGAGCACATGACTCTAAAGGCTACATTCACACTGCAGGGCTTAATGCTCAATTCCGATTTTTTGCAAGGCCGTTCATATTTTCAGTTAAATGCGACCTTTTGTGATCTCCTGTGTGAACGTGAAATGACCCAAAAGTGGCGCAGAAGAGTAATCAACAGTCAACGACGTCACTTGTTTGCGGAATAGTTATTTTTTTTCCATATGTTGTGAGCTTTTGTTTTATTATTATTATTGCCACAGCCCATATACAAACACAGACAACAATTATTTTATCGACAGGCAAAGTTTGCACATAAATGTATTTTTCCGATCCTCACCGACCTCGTCATAAAACCCGTTTAATTGATAGTTGCGCGTCCTCGGCGCTCCTTGCTTTGTCACCGGCGGCCGCGGTGCGACACTGGTGGCTGGTGTTGCCAGATTGGGGTTTTTTTCGCTACATTTTAAGGCATGTTTACATGTGTTTTAGCCAGGTTTTCGCCTGGAAGGCTCTATAGAAATCTGGCACCATACTGTACGAAGTTAAACTGACAGAGAGCGCACGTTCACAGACACCAGAATGAACGTGTTCACAGTAATGTTCATCAGGCAGTAATACAGTATATGAACGCGTTCATGCACTATCGTTCATTGAACGCATTCAGGCACAACACTGGGGAAGAGACACGTCTGCAGCGGCGCATAGTTAGCGTGTATTGGCTAGCTACAGGTGCGTGCAATGACGTGTGGGTCGGATATATGTGACCTGGCGGTTCAGATTGAAGTCGCATTTCAAAAGATCGGATACATATCGGATTTGGACCGCATACCCAAGTGGCCTGGGTCGCATTTGAAAAGATCGGATCTGTGTCGTTCAGACTGTCATGAAAAAATCAGATGCAGGTCGTGTAGGGGCAAAAAAATCGGAATTAGGTCGTTTCAGCCTGCAGTGTGAACGTAGCCTAAATTACCTTAATGTTCTTCATCTCTAGTAAAATTTGAACATGGTCACATTGTGAACCATTCCAAACAATATTCAATCATTTAGGATTCCATTGTTTAGTCTCCTTTTACACTTCTCCTTTGTGCTTTGTTTTTTTTAGGTCGGTGTGATTCTTTTGCAACACAGCTCTCAGTTTCTTCTGGTGTGGATCCTTTAATGTTATTGTAAATAAAATGACCAATTACATTTACTATGTTTTTCTCGTTTTTTATACTACGATTTCCTGAAACTTAAAACCTTTGGTTGAAATTGCACAACTTTTCTCCTTTTAAATAATTAAAGAGATTGAATCCATGCAGTATTTTGTAATTTCAGTGTAATTTGAACAAAACTCACTATTCATGCTAGTTTCATTAAATTTATTTTCAGTAAAATGTAGTTCAAGTTAGTCTTTTTTTTTATATATATATATAAAATGTTTACTTAAAACAAAAATTCATCAGTGCACTGACTGAGTAACATAGTGTTATGCAAAAGTTTGGGCACTCCTGATTATTTCAATTCATAATCTGCTGGGCTTTTGATTTGTACTTCATTTGGATATAATGTATAACTTATAGTATTTATTTAATCAATAGAACCAATGCGATGTGAATCATAACAAAAACAGACAGGTGCAAAAATTTGGGCACCCCAATGGTACAATTACATCAACATTAAGTAGAGCCTCATTTTGCTGAAATAGCAGCCTGTAGGCGCTTCATATAGCCACTGCTAAAACTCTGAATTCTTGCTGCAGGTATTTTGGCCGATACTTCTTTGCAGAATGTCTCTAGTTCAGTCAGGTTGGCTGCAGAGCGTTTACAGCCCACTTATAATCATTCCATAGCTTTTTGCTATTGTTCAAGTCTGGGGACTGGGTTGGCAATTCTAGAACATTGTTTCTGTGCATGAATTCCTTGGTTTGCTTTGGATGATTGTCCTGAAATAACCAGATATGGCTTAACTTCAGTCTCTTGACCGATTTTTGAACATTGTTCTTAAGAATCTGCTGGTACTGAGTGGAATCCATGCAACCCTCAACTTTGAGAAGGTTTGGGGTGTATTCCATTTTTTTATTATTATTATTATTATTTGGCCTATTACCCATCTTCACAATTTTCTAACTTTTTGTCTCCTAATTCATATTGACATTTGAAAAATTTTTGGTGAGTTCTTTTGAGGTTCCCTTGTTGCTACTTTCCTATAGAGAATCAAATAGCTACCTTAAAGAGTAACTAAACACTAAACCAACTTTTTTTAGTTAATGATCTGTAAGAATGAATCTTTAATTAATACCAGTCATTGATTTGAGTAACTTTTTTGACATTTGTCTGTAAAGTGTTTGATTTCTACAATATATTGTGTAAAAAAGTCTTAGTGCTGCCCTCTTCAGGTTGAACAGTGGCTACTGCAGTTGAATTTTCTATTGGATGTTCCGCACATCGTGACGGATTGAGAATGAGGAGTCACGTGCCTATTTGGGCGGGGTCTGAGCCGGTCGGCCATGATGGTAGGAGACGCTATCGGTTACCAGGGGCAACACCTTTAGAACCCATAGACACGACTAAACATTCCAGAGCTCTTAAATTTTCGCGCATTTATTGTTTTGGCAGGACAGAGACGGATCTAAGAATACGAGAAAAAAAGGAAGAAAGTAAAGCAATGCAAAAAGATAAGGCGAAAGAAAGGGGACCTTACAGGAACAAACTCACACAAAGTTCAAAACAGCTGTATTTGGAGAAGCAGCATCAATGTATTTGTTCTTTTGCACTAATAGCAGTATTATTATTTTATTATTATTACTTATGTTGTCCATGAAACTTATGTCGTCCAAATAGCCTATATATTTCAGTTCTCAATAAATATTGTTAAGCCATATCAAGTTGTTTCAAACATTTATTTCAATGAAATAAATGAAAGGCACTCAAACAACACTTGCATATGTTCGTTAAGGCACACCAAACAGTGAAAATCGTATACTAAAGGCATCAGCAAACCCAGCAATCCGGCGTCTCCTCGTCAGATCAGACTCTCCCTGCTGTGTCAATTTCGGTAACCCCAAAAACTTAATTCCATTGTTCCTATGTTTTCCATATGTATCGTGTGAGTTACTGGAGGAGTTTTTAACGCAGCAGTTATTTCCAGGCATGGTAAAACAGTGCGTTATTGCGAGAAACTCCTCTACTACCGAGCTAAAAACACACGTAATCAATACTGTTTTGCTGTGGGAATCCTACCAACATGGTGGAAAGGGGAGGGGCACTGTAAAATGACGTCAACTCCTCATTCTCAATTGAAAACGATCAGGATAGTGTTTTAGCATCTATTTATTCCCCTCCATCTCCGCTGGGGTCTGCCCACTTTTTCAGCATTTTTCAAATATTGCCAGTGGGTGGAGTCAGGCTCTGACTAGGGGTTTAGTTACCCTTTAAATATCCATTTTCATGATTGGTTGAACCTGTGTTTGCAGTCTTAAAATTGATTTGATTGGTTCAATTAATTTTGTGTTGCTATCAATTAGGATTAAGTGAACTCCATGTGTTCAAATCGACACAATTGAAAGGATGTCTGTCTGAACGTTTTCCCAACATGGTGCCCAACATTTGATTGACTCTGTACCAATCTTTGTCTGAAAAGCGTCACATTATCCAGATTTCTCTAGAGACTGAATGGCAGAATTGAATGCAGTCTCAGAGGGGTAGCCAAACTTTTTTTTTCAAAGAGGGGTAGCCAAGCTCCAGTAGAGCTCTCAATGAAAATGAAAGGCATTCTACAGTACAACATTGTGATGATGAAAACAATATTCAAATGTGAATGTCAGCTGGAATTTTAGATTTTCACAAAGTCGTCAGTCACTAACAGTTGCTGAAGGTGTTTGTTGTTGAAGGTGTTTTCCTCCACACTTCTCAGCTTTATACCTCTGCTCCTCAATTTCATTTATGAACCAATTATAGTTCAATTAACCTTCTACTGCCAAAAGCTATAAATATCTGGGAACAAAACACAGGGAGGGAAACTTGCAAATTGACAGGGTAATATTAGAAAAGAACTGGCATTACAAGTTTTAATTCACTGAGAACTGGCACAGCCGACTTTTATGCACGTATTTCAAGGAAATGGGGCTTGCCAATTTTTTAAGAAGACCAAAGAGTTAAGGGGTTGTAACAGAAACAAGCTGTAAAGCTAGCATGTCATTCAAATCATGTTCATATACAGGTTGGTTTCTGCTACTTTTCAGTGCACAAGATCACATACAGTTCACAGGGGAATGCTACTACTTTAAATTTGGTTTGTAATTTTAAGTATATATATTTTTTAAATCTTCCCGTAGGATCCCCCACCTCACCCCCTAGAACCCTCTCACGGTAATGAACAAAATATCACAATTTTCTAAGATCAGTACTACTTTTACTTTACAACACTTTACAATAAGGTTACGTTTATTTACAATAAAAATACTTCTAAAGCATAATTAATATTATCATTATTATTATTTTAACATTTACTAATAAATGATTCAAGTCAAATTATATTTGTTAATATTATTTAAGGACCTGCGCCCATTTTGTTCTGTCTTCCAATATGTATTTCCACTGCATGAAGGTAAGATCTTGCGGATTTTTGAATGAACCGCTCGTTTTAAAATCTTCCCGGTCTACTGTCATATGGCATCAGCTTAAAACACTACATTGCTCATGATAACTTTCGTCTCAAGTAAATCCACTTCACTAGCTAAATACTCTTCGACAGCGATGTCATACAGTACATATTTACTGTATATAGCCTACATGATTCAGATATACAGAGTTACTGCAAGAAGTTCAGAGTCAAAATTCAAAGGATGGCTGCACGCTTGTTTCTCTGGTGTACAAGGTCTATAGGTGATGATAAATAAAGCATTGACTGACTGGAACTTATTACGGGGCGGTTGAATGCTTGGTTCGGATTGGTTGACTGGGGTGGTGATGGCGCAGTGGATAAGACGCATGCCCTTGGTGTGATAGACCCAGGTTTGAATCCACTGTGACACCAATGTGTCCCGGAGCAAGATACTTAACCCCTTGTTGCTCCAGGGGCCTGCGATCTTTGACATATTGTAGCATTGTAAGTCGCTTTGGATAAAAGTGTCAGCTAAATGAATAAATGTAAATGGTTGACGAACGTTCTAAGGTGTCCAATTATTTTCAGGGAAACGCACAGCTACAGTTCCAAATCACTTAAGGTCTTTACAGCCTATACAGAACCAAAACACAATGACACTGGCCAAGCAAATAAATATTGTAAACAATAGGATAAAAACAACAAATGTTGTACATGTTTGTTTTTTTGCCACAAAATTATTGTATTATGTATTTTGCATTTTTTAGTTATTATGGAAAAGCACATCTGTCTCTCCCACTCAAACACACACACAATAAGGACACACACCCAAGTGTTGTCAGCACTGCTCTGACGATTTTATCAGTAAAATAGTTTAGCAACTTAAAAGCTACATGACGTTTCTCATAGTGAGCATAGACATATACACTAGACCTCACCTTGGGGCTCTAAGCATGCGTTAAAACCGCCGCCATCTTGGAACAGGGGTCTTGTCATAGGAATTAGCTAGGTAACGCTGCTATCTTTGCCTTTACGTCGAATTCATTGATGGTGGCGGACTTTTGTGCAGCGTATGATATTCACGGATGAAATCTGAACTAGGAAGAATGTTTTAAAAAAAAAAAAAAGTTTTTCTTTCTGGAATCAATGATAAATACATGTCTGACCATTGGAACAAATCAAAAAAACAAGAAAAATCGCATTCATGATGATTTATGGTGATTTTATTTCCGTTAGACCTGTGTCTACTACATTGACGCTTAAAGTGGAGGGGCTCCCCTGTTTCAAGATGGCGGCTCTATTGACGCATTCGTTCCAATGAACTGCCGTAGCCAAGGTGAGGTCTAGTGTATATGTCTATGCATAGTTAGGAGCAGATAAACATAGTTTCGCTACAGACTGGTGCCAAACGCTATTGAGAGACACACAGACTGAGGTAATTCACACAAGCTTAAAGGGTTAGTTCACCCAAAAATTAAAATGATGTCATTAATGACAGGCCCGTAAGACCTCCGTTCATCTCCGGAACACAGTTTAAGATATTTTAGATTTAGTCCGAGAGCTTTCTGTCCTTTCATTGCAAATGTATACACTGTCCTTGTCCAGAAA